ACACCCCCCCCCCGTAGTTGTGGGGTGAGCCTCCCCAATAACGCTTGCCGTGCCCTGCTCTAGCCCCCATTTTGGTCCGGCACCCGTTACCCGTCAAACAGATACAGGTACCCTACTGCACACCAAACTGCTGCTTACTCCCGTCTAATTTACGTTATCACCCATAGTTTGAAAAACAAAATTCACCTTCTTCTTTCAAATTGAGCAGTCCGTTTTCGGCAACAGGTCGGTACATGTAAGACTACTCAAGCTGTCTCCCAACTGTTTACATAAATGATTCCTAAATTGATCGTACCAGGTGCATATTTTTTCATTTGATTCGACGGTGACAATTGTACAAAACGTTATATCACGACAATACGAACTACCGAATCAAAATAAGTAGCGATAGTGTCCGCTTAATTACAAAGGACGGTTATACCACGTGCATAATCTTCCAGACGAGAGAATTCACAGCTACCCAGTGTCCGTTTTTTATTTCAACCCATTTAATTTACTTTTGGTGATGTTAAAATTAAAGGAGTACTGTGGATGCCGGTCTATCAGGCTGAATTCTGACTCAGATCCTATTAATAGGCATAGACACGCATATAAGCCGATTATCAAAGAACAACTTCGAGAATGGTTTGAAAAGCTACCGTTCGTTCCCTGAATCCCATTAAGCATCAGGTCATTACGATCTATATTATCCCGGTCCCATGTATTTATCCTACATGGTTGCCGGATTTAAAATATAGATTCCTGCCCTCCAGTTATTTGAATTGAAACTCGCCTTCCGAGCGACCGTTTTCTTTTGGATAAAATGAATTCGACCTATCACATTATCCAGCATGTTGCTTCGCATATTTTTAGATGAAGGCAAAAAATTACGAACGCGTGGAGAAATTATTTCAGCGATGTCTCATCAAAATTCTGAACATTGATCTTTGGAAACTTTACCTTCAGTACATCAAAGAAACGAAGTGTAAACATCCCAATTTCAAGTAAAGTTGTGGGCTTTCCTGACCTTCTTCTTCATAGGGAGAAAATGGCACAAGCTTATGACTTCACACTGGACAAGATGGGTCTAGATCTCAATTCCTATTCCATTTGGGCTGACTATATAACTTTCCTCCGGTCGACGTAAGCCCTAGTTTTTATCAGGCCTACCTCGGAATTTTCTTATATCTACTTGCCAACTTTGCCAGCTTCTGTTGACTACCACATTGATCTTTCTACAACTGTTATCATTTGCTTCTGTGTGCACAACATGCACCAGAGAACCTCTCCATCGCTAACCCCATTGTAAATATTTGTTGTGACTCGAGCGAGTGAACTAGACGCCTGATAAACAAAGTAGAGTTGATCGGATTCCGTCCCAGGAAAATTGTGTTCTGTACATAATGGAGAGAATTGACTTCCAGAATAGCTTTACTATACCATCCTTTTTGAGGTACATGACATTCGGAATTTTTTGGGCTACAGGTGAATACGTTCAGGAATGTTACCACTTCAAATTCATCTGAAAGATTTGGTTTGCGTGTTGGGGATCCCTTGCTCTTTGTCCATAGCTAGCAATGTCCGTTTTAGCCACACAGTTACTTGTCAATTACAAACCTATTCAACGCGAATACTGGCCAATTCATCGTGCGGCTACCGTTTACTCCAGTGACGTCTCTGCTAATCAGTACGTTGGTGTAAAATTGCACGTCCTCGAGTATTAGACCCATCAGCTTACTTTGCAACAAAACGAATACAGGCCTTTCTGTTGTAACCAAGTGTGTTCCTGTGTCAACACCGGTTATGTTCCCCCAGTGCGTGTTAGGAAGAGAGGACAGAATGGGATAACAACTAGTACTTTACTGTCACTAGCACTAGTACATGAACTCTGGTCCGTGTGTCCAGCAGTAGCCTTCTGTGGTCGGTCTCGTCTAGGCAGCGTGTCCAAAACAGAGTCCCCGTTCTGCTAGCGCCTCGCTATTTGAGGGGCAGTCGTCATTGCTCCCCATTGGCTCTCCCAGTGCGCATGCTCGCTTACGCCCGTCTGTGCGTCTGTCCTCGCGTGACCCCACTGACAACAGCAGTCCGGCTCCTGGGGCAGTCTGACTCCGCATGCCTTCTTTGTCCTGGCATAATGTTCACCCTTTGGCGGTTGCGCGACATGGCCCGTTGTGTATTGCCCGGCTGGCCTCACGTGACCTCGTACTGTCTGACGTCTGGGTGACGTGCTCGGCCACCCTAACACCTCCCACTGTTACAAGGTTGACTGGTCCGGCGTGACCTCGGACTGTCTGTGTCTTTGTCTGGGTTACGTGCTCGGCCACCCTAACACTTTAATTGCTAATTTTTTAAATCAAAGTTTCCTGTTGTTCGCACCTCGAGAAATGCCAAAGTCAATGTGTTCCCAACCCCGTCTCAATATTCACCACGGAGCTTCACACCGATGTCGCAACGGTGTTAATATTGGCTGTATTTGGTGACTAACCTGTAGTCATTCAACTCGTCGTCAGTTTTTAGATATCCGCTCAACTTGGAGTTAGCCACGCTGTGCCAATAACGGCGGCGTAGTAAGTCGCTGTTTAAACTCTTACACCTCCATCCGCAGGCATATCAGGCTGCATGCTTGCTCGCGATCACTGCTTTCACACCAGCCATTACATAGTAGCAAAGAACTGCACTCGCGTTCTGGCATGCATTCCAAAAGCGATTGAATCTTTTGCTATCAGAAGAATTTGCGATGACTTTGCTTGCGCAAACCACAAGTGGGATAAACAA